AAAAAAAATCTAGATACAAATAATTTATAAGCTTTAAATTGTATACCACCCTGAGCAATAACAAGATGAAGTCTTACCCTGTGTTGCTTTGTTCTGCCAAGAATATGAATCATCCCTTCGTCCATTATATTCACTACCCACCTGCCTGACACTTAGTGTCTGTCTCAGTTATCCAATCAACCACACTCATGTAACATTATAGAGTTGTCATTGTTCTATTTTATTATTAGATATTGTGAATCTCTTACTGTATTTAGTTGATAAACTAAACTTTCTCATGGTCCCTTTATAGATGGCCCCTGATGAACGATGGTTCAATGAAGGATTATTTTTCCACTTTATGATGGTGTGAAAATGACATGCAGCCAAAAGAAATCATACTTAAATTTTGGGCTTTGAATTTTTTTCTAGGATATACAGTAAGCTACTCTCTCAAGATGCTGAGTAATGGGACTGAACCAGTTCCCAGATAGCCCCAAGGTTATGAGGGTAAAGCAACACATACTCTACAGTGTGCTGTGTACAACAAATCACACAACATAGTCAACACCTTACTACAGAATAGGCTTTGTGCTGGACAGTTCTGTCCAACTGCAGGCTAATATAGGTGTCCTTGGCACATTTAAGGCAAGGTAGGCTAAGCTCCAATGTTTGGTAAGTTAGGTGTACTGTCATTTTTCAACTTTACCATATCTTTAACTTGTGTTGTATCCATTAGGACAAAGACCCATCATGAGTGAGGAGAGTCCGTACAGAAAAAAATACTATTTTGGTTGATACTTTCACAGAAACACTTTTCATGTGAAAAGGAGTGTGCAACTGCAGGGACAACATCAAATACTGGCAAAAATGTAGAGAACTGGGTCCCTCCTACACTGCTGGTGCACATGAGAGTGCTACAGCGACCGCAGAAAAGAGTTTGGTCAGTTTTGCTTTCTTTTTCCATTTCAGTAATTCTTTTTTTTAATGAGTGCGTGTCTGCAGTCCATAATGGTTCCATCCCTTGTGCAGAGCTGGCACGTGTACAGAGCACATCTTAGTTATTTTTTGTGACTTACCCCTGACCTCCCTCTATGCTCCTTCCAGTTCTTGGTCTCCCTTCCATTTGCAAGGGCTCTATTTCTATTTCCTTTTAATTCTTTTATCTCAGTGCCCTATCCATCCCCCATCTCTCATTCTCCTTCCCATCTGAAGAAGATCTCCCTACTTCCTATTATCGATATTTTATTTTGCTCTTCATTTTTATTTTCAGTTTCTCACTGAAGGGAAACCATGCAGTGTCTAAGCTTGTCTGAAGTCTGAAAATATTACATGGAAAATCCCAGAAGTAAACTATTAATCAGTTTTAAACTACAGATGTTTTGAGTGGTGAGGTAACTCTCATTCAGTCTCACTCCATCCCACCCAGGGTGTGACCCACACCTTTGTCCATAGTGTTCACACTACCTGTCGCTCAATTACTGGCATCTCAGTCACCAGATTGAGTGTTGTGGAATCACAGTATTTGTGCCTAAGTAACTTTGGTTTCACTGAACAGTGGCCTCAGAGTGCAAGGGTGGTGTTGCTAGCAATTCAGAATGCCAAACAGAAGCCATAAAATGTTTCCTTTAAGTGAAAATGTGAACGTCCTTGACTTACTAAGAGAAGAAAAGTATCATATGCTGTTTGCAAAAATCTATGTGAGGACATACCCTCTATCTGCAAAATTGTGAAGAAGAGAAAATAAATTCTTGCCAATTTTGTTATTACATCATCTCAAAATGCAAAAAGTTAAAGCCTCAGAGAGTAATAACAACAAAACTAACAGCAATATGCAGTGGCATGAATCTGTAATCCCAGATACTCTCAAGGCTGAAGCAGGAGAATTGAAAACCACTCTTAACATTTATGGAACATTTTGTTATGTGGCAGGTCCTTACATAGCCTTTTTTTAAATACTGGGGTTGAAGCCAGGACCATCATATTGAGCTATATTCTCTGCTCCCTTTAAAAAAATATAGATAGATATATTTTGTTTTTGTTTTTGTTCTTTTGGTTCTGAGGATCAAACTCAGGAACTTGCAATTGTGAGGCAAGTGGCAGCACCACTGTGCTAAATCCCAGCTCTAATTTTTTTGTTTTAAGACAGGATCTTTCTAAGTTACTAAACTACCCAGACTGGAACTTGTGATCCTCCTGCCTCAGCCTCCCAGCGTGCTGGGATTACAACCACACACCACTACTTGGTTTACATAAAACTTTTGTGCATATAGATTCATCTCACTCTCACTATTGCCAGTTCAATTAGGTACTATCTCAGAGAGCCAGAGAGGTTAAATCTGTCTACAACTACATAACTAAGAAATGAGTGGGCTGTGAACTGAACTCAGATATTCTGTATCAAGAGCCCATCTTTTTTAAAAAAAATAAAAACATTATTGGGCATGAGTCTCAACACAAAAAGGAATACAGGTCCCTAAATTTTTAGTGTATTTGTGAAGTCTTGTGACCATTTCTGCCATCAATTCTTGAACAGTCACTTCCCATTTCCCTCTCACACCACAGCTCCAGACCACTAAACTCTTTTCTGTCTCTATGGGTGTAGCTCTTCTGGACCCTTCCAATGAGTGGAATAATATAACAAGTAGTCTTTTGTTCATCCATGCAGTGGCGTGTATCTTTACTCCATTTGTGGAATAATACCCCACTGCACGGGACATTGTATGTCTCTATTTCTCAGCTGAAGGCCATTCCTATGGTCTCCCCTTTGGCTATTAGGAATGATGTAGCTATGAGCATTTTTGAACCGTGTAAGTCTGTGTGGATGTGTGTTTCCACTTCTTTGGGGTATATACCTAGGAATGAGTTTGCTGGATCATAAGGTAACTCAGTGTTTAATCTCTTGAAGAATTCATGCTCTTTCTTAGAGTGGAGAAATACTCCACTTTCTGGAACCCAACCCAGAATATTTTCATAGCACATATGAAGTCACAACTGTCTCTCAAAAAAGGTGTTTGTGCAGTCATCACCTCTTGCATTCTAGAATCTTTGTGTTTTTCTTCTTTTAAAGTTTAACATTCTGTTCTTATAGCATAAAATAGAAGTTGGTTAATTTGAATTTTGAGGTGAGTGAATATTATTGAATATATAATATATGCAAAGGATATAAGATATGGGAGAGATGCAGAAAACAATTTCTTCTATCCTCCTGCTTTTAATTAATGCTTGTTGGACATATACCAAGTACTGCTCACCAGGACTGGACAACAGGGCTTCAAAGGTGAATTTGTCCATGTAGAATTGAAAATCTTCTGGAATACAGATACATGGAGGTGTGAATTATAATAAGGGCTGCCAAGCAGAGATATGTGGAGCTTAGAGATGTTATTTGGGAGCGTGGAACCTTGATGAAAGAAGGATCCTTGCAGGTACAAGGGTTCCAGAGAAGAGGGAGTTCTGAGAGAAGTGAATAATGAGAGGGAGAAGGCCAAGACCCTAAAAACCAGGTAAATAAGTTTGCTTTGAAATATTAAATCAAAGAGAGACAAGAGAATTAAAAAACAGAAACTGAAATATCTGTGTGCCATTAATCAGTGCAGCACTATTCATACTAAGCCAAGGGTAAGAATAATCCAAGTGTCCATCGATAGTGGATCAGTCACAAGTGGGGCGTAACAAGTACTGTTCAGCCAGGGAAAGGAAAGATGCTGCAGTACAACTATGACATGGACAAACTTTGGAAAGTTCATGCTAAGTGGAAATGTTCATGCTAAGTAAAGGCTCAGCAAACCAAAAAGGACGAATGTTCTATAAGCCTACATACGCAAAACATTTAAAATAAGCCAATTCATGTAGAGACAGAAAGCATATTAGAAGTTACCAGGGAAGAAGGGAAGATGCAAAGACATTTCTTAATGGTTAGAGAGTTTTTGTTTTGGGGGATGAAAAAGTTTTGGAAATAGTAGTGATGACTTCACAACATAAAGTATACATAAGTATAAGTATACATAAAGCCACTGAATGGCATACTTAAAATCATTAGAATGACAGAATTTTGTGTGTGTGTGTGTGTGTGTGTGTATATCATCACAATAAAAAAAGTAAAAAGAGCAAAGAAGCAATTAACAAATCTGAAATCAGTTGGGGAGGCATGACACGATGAAACTTAAGTTTTGTAAAAACTGCCTTAATTATGGTATAGAAAGGTTGAATGGAATCCCGATTAGATATGAGTAATCCTGTTAGGTTTGTAGTGTGGGTGAATAGAAGTGGATGGATTTGAGAAATATCAAATTTGATTTTGTGATTCAGATAAGTAGGGTAGAATAAAGATGCCAGTCTAGATAGAGAATACTGAAAAAAATCCAAATTTGAGTGAGACCAAGCTTGGATTATACAATGGCTGTGGAGTGATACAATGCATTGTCGTATGTGTCCAGAGCTAAAAGGAAAGGTTTAGAAGAGATCTGCAAAATGAAGACTCAAATCTTTTTTTCATAAAACATGTAGTTAAAGCCATACAATTTGTCTATCTAGATAGATGAGAAAAAAATACAAGATTTTAGGTGATCAAATGCTGAAATGTTTGACATCAGGGAAAATCGTTTTTATGAAGATAAGAGTTACAGTTTCATGGAATATAAATAAAAGGGAGAGACAAATGCAATCCTAAATTACCAAGACACATTCCTTGAAGGAGCAGGATTGGGAAGATAGGTTTTTCCAGAGAGGGCACGAATTTTAACAGGCAGAGGCGGGAACGCTGAATAATCAGTTGGAGACTTTAAAGGCTCAGTAAACACAGACCTAAAGAAGTAGACCTGGGGCTAGGATGGATGGCACAGCCACTGGACTCTTCACACCACCGAGTCGAGTTCACAGAAGGTGGTGCGCACTGGCCTCTCATGGCAGAGCCTGTGAAGCAGCCCAGCCGCCCAGCAAGACCCCAGCTCCCCTACTGAACCTTGATTCTCAGCCAGCCACCGTGCCGCTTTGGCATTCACAGTTCCCACTCAGCCGAGCGCTTTCGCTGTTCCCTGCGTGTGGGGCCACCTGGCCTCTGAGAGGAGCCATCAAAGACCCAGGCCCCTTACTGGCCCGGCAGAGCTGGCTAAGGGAGATGAGCAGTGTTGAGAAGGAAGTGCGCTCGGCACAGGGCAATTGATCGTCAGCATCCCCACTGCTGCCTGGGGCTCAGATCAAGCCCACGTCGCTGCAGGGGCCTGGCAGGGAAGAGTGGCAGTGCAGCCGGCGTACCAGCTTTCGTGGATCACCCCACGCCTATCCTTCATGCTCATGCTTTCAAGACAGCGAAATGCAAGTAAAAAGGAAGAAAGGAAGAGAAAGAGGGAGGGGAAACCTAAGGGAGTGGAGAAGCATCGGCATATTAAGGAACTGTTTAACTTACACTACTGGTATTTTTTTAAAGCTACTTGACAATATAGTAACTTGTCCTCGGGATTGGTGTAATCATTGCATCTTGGGGCACTGGCCTAAGTGACACAATCTAAAGGGCATCGATGTTCATTCTAAAGTTATCTAAATCAGTAAGAAGTTGGAGAAACCTTAATGTACAGGCATTAAGAAATGGTTCAGCAAATTCTTTATCAACCTTAGTACTATTTGTCATAAACAAGTATTTTATAAAGTCTTTTTATTTTGTTTCTGGGCTCTTAATTAGTACATGCTTGCAGCACATAAAGGATTTGTTATTTTAGCCAGTGCGGTAGTCCACACCTGTAAGCCCAGATCCTGAGAGGCTGAGGCAGGAGCATACTGAATTGGAAACCAGTGTGGGCCAGTGAGTTCAAGACCACCTTGGAGTGCATAGCGAGATCCTATCACAAAATCCATGTATGTGTATATATTTAAAGCTTAGCATTTTATATTAAACTACTAAACTATGAAGTCAAAATAGGATACTGTATCTTGTGTAATCTCAGTATCTTCAAGAAGAACAGAAGATCAAAAAGATGTTTTACAAAATATATAGTAGTTATCTTTATGGTTCACAGAATTAAAGGTGATTTTAAAATTTTTTCCAGTTGTATTTTACAGACTTAGGGCAATAGGTTATTTTATCACCGAAAATATATAAACATATAATTATAAAGCATTGAAAATAAAATAAGCATGGGAGGGTGAATTCAAAATTATGATTAAATTGTCTTACTTATGTGAGATTCAAAATTATTTTGCATTCTTCCCAACAAAGATGTTGACCGTACATTTCCGGTCCCCTCTCTATGTCCTCTGCTGTTAGGCATGTATCAGTTCAGTGGAAACATCATTCTTAAGCATCTTTTATGTTTGCGGTCAGGGAAGCTGTCTGGCACAGGTTTGGAAGCAAACCAACACACCTTGTGAATGTCAAACACAGACTTCAGCATGGCCCCTGTCCTGTCGTGACCAGTAGGACAAGGTGCAGGGCCGAATGGGGGCAGCCTAGACCGACAGCTGGTGCCCTGGGCTTCACCAGCCTTGCTGACTAACTAGCCAGCTTGAAATGGCAACAGAAAGCAGATGGCTAGATCAGCCTTCTCTTTGGCTAGCCTGAGAGAGCCATCTGGAGGAAAGAAAACTGGTCCACCACCTGGAGAGAAAGGTGCTGGTAATCACTTCCAGCCTCTCATTTTGCAATGTGAAATGCCCAGGGAGGGACAGAGGAGGATCTTCAGACACTTGTGGGGAAAGAGCTCCAAGCATGGTTGCTGATGGGATACAAATGCTGCCCTTCCTGGAGGGAACAGATTTCAGGAGCTAGGAGTCTGCAGGCTTCCACGACCCCACTGACACAGTGGGTGAAGCAGCAGGCTCATGAATGCAGAAAGCTCTTCCTTCTCTCAGGCCTGCAGGTGCACATGTGCACCCTGCATGGGGGATCTTCCACCCTCTGTCCCTGCCTTTTGTCTCCAGGTGCCCTGGCTGTCCTCATGCCACTGAGTTAAGAATGGTTCTGCAAGGAACCATCTGCAGCCCAATCCAGTGACTCCCCGGGTCACAGACACTTTCCTTTTGGATTTAAGTTTCTGGCTCCTCCTGGGCCAGGGAAAGTATCATTGTGGTTAAGAACCTCTTATACACCACCATGGGCAGGTCCTGCAAGGGATTTGGCAGAGTCAAAGTAGGCCCTCTTGGCTGAGGTAGCACTTCTCCAAGCATTGACATGCAGCGAGGACCAAAGTAGATTTCAGGTCTGAATCATCCGAGTGGTCGTGTTGAACACAGTAGAAAACCAGCACAGTAGCATGCAGAGTCCCTGTATGGGGGCTAACCATGTTCAGGACTTCAACACTGACACAAAAGAGGACCCAGATTTTATCACTGAAATAAACTTCCATTCATTCAGAAACCTCAGAAAGCTTAGTTTGTTTAAGGATGCCTGTACACATTTATACCACAGACATTTAGCCGGGCTTACTCTGTGCTGGATGCCAAAACAAAAAGTAGCATAAGCCATAATCTTTATATATAAGGAGCTCCTTTGGTAAGGGAAACAAAGTGTTTACATATATATTTTTAAATATTATATTATATATATTATCTATAACTGATATGCATATATATCAATCTGTTGATATATCTCTTTTTATTGATCAACCGATCTGCTGATACGTAATAAAAGCCAGCACTTTGGTAAGCATGGGAAGGAGAACTCCTATGCATGGGGAGGATCAGGGGACCATGCAGGCACTGGAACTGGGGGCTTCCCAAGCATGGCCATGTGACAGAGTTCTGCTCTATATTCACTGAGATGTGAGTAGATGATTTGAGACTCCTAACAAGTCTCCTGAAAAGAAAAAGAATCATTTCTTTCCTTCTTCCGTTTGCTGTCAGCCTGGAACTCATATGTGATGTCTGGATTCTAGAAACTTCCTTGGGTTATGAGATGCGCTTACAAATGGAAGTCACACACTGAGGGTGGTAAAACTGAAAAATGAGTCTGGGGCCCTGATAAATATGGAGCCGCCACATCATCCTTGTATTACCCAATTTTTGACTCCTTTTTTTGTAAGAGAAACTGAAATGTGTATTATATGAGTTATTGATGATATTTTTCTGTTACATATATTCTGATCTAATTCCAATGACACAGAAACTTACACAGTATATTCGAAGAATGGCATAAAGTCCATAATATTAGCTCAAGGGATAAGTATAAAGAAACGTAGGAAGCAAATCATTCGGCATTTGGGATCCATACTAAGAAATCTGGGTATCTTCACCTACGAAAAGGACATGATCACCATGGCTTTTCAGCACCTGTATGGAAGGAAGGTGAATTATAAATAAAAAGAAAAAACAAGGGAATTTCTTAGAAGATGGTTTCTAGCCTTGGTGAAAGATGACAGGGGATTGGAGGAATGCAGAAGCAGTAACATTGGAACATGAACAGTTCAGAAGACAATTCTGAAGCAGAATTCAATTCCACATCCTGGCCAGGATAAGGAGGGAGCTCATGGTTTCAGCCTGAGTGGGGGTCACAGCAGTAACTGAAATGGGTGCA